GCCGGGCTCCGCGGGGGCAGCCGGCTGCTCGGTGGCTCGGGCCGGTGCTTTCCTCCTGCTGGAATTCCTTCCCGCGGGCTCAGCGTTCAGCGGAGACACCACGGCGTTCAGATTAGGACGGGGGGGGCTTTGGAACCTCTGATTTTTGTGTGAAACATATAGGGGAACCTTTGATTAGTGACATTGCATAAACAGGGGCGCAACTTCATGATAAGGCATCGTGTGCTCACCACCCGAAGTCCAGCCTCCCGTTTTTTGCTAGTTTTCATGTGGGGAACAGGTTCAGGATGTCCCCAGACAGTCTCAACATTTCATATATGTTCCCTCGGGATGGAACCCCGATCTCCTGGATCCTAGGCTGATGCTCAACCGCTGAGCTACACTGGCCAGGGCCCGTGTGTCCTTTAATAGGCGTCCTTTTCTGTCCCTCCCTCCTAGGTCCCGGCCCGACCACCAGGCTCTTCGCCTCTGGGTGCACCTCTGCTCCGTGTTGAGCTCGAAGGAGAGGCTGAGCTCGCTGGACGTGAGCCAGAGCTCCCTGAGCCGCTCCTCCGTGCGGATCCTCTGTGAGCAGATAACCCCAGTCGCCTGTCGCCTCCAGAAGGTGGTGTAAGTGGAAGACAACCTTGTAATGGCCGTCCCCAGACGTTTACTATCGTGAAGCAATATTCAAACGCCCGACCAGGCTCTGACCAGCCAGGTGCTCCGAATACAAAGAAATGAGACGCTTCTTAGCCTTAGAGGTGGCCGGTGGGACACTCCTCTGTCACATCGAGTCATTTTCATGAAACCTGGCCAAGAGTTTGGATGCATGCAAACACCCATTGCATTTTAAAAATACTTATTTATTATTTTTCACTGAATTTATTGGGGTGACATTGGTTAGCAGGGTCATATAGGTTTCCATGACACATGTTCTGCACATTGCATTTGTGCCCAACACTCAAAGCCAAACTTCCTCCCGTCACCATGTACAGGGTGTCCCCCCAAAAATGTATACACACCTGAACGGCTGATAGCTCAGTTTTGAAAATGTATTTTAATGAACACTGCCTTTATAATTATCCAGAGTGTGTGTATACGTTTTTTGGGGGACCCTTTACTACCCTCGGCCCCCTTCCCCCGGTAACCACCAGACTGTGTCTATGAGTAAAACAAACAAAACAAACCAGCTCTTCGTGGTCCGTGCCATCAAGGATCCCACTTTACTTGCTAACTTAGAAACCACGACTTGCTGTAGCCGAGGCGAGCGCTGCTCTGTGGAAATAGAGGCCACCTGGGGTTACGGGGAGAAGTGACTTATTCTCACTAGAAAGGCGGTGGGCGCCCAGGGGGCCGGGAAGTGAGAGCTGAACGCTGAGGGGAGCACGCAGCTCAGAGAACAAGGCGCCGGCCGCGCGGCTCAGCTGGCGGAGCAGGGCCCTGCGCGCCGGACTCCTGGTCTGGGCACAGCCCGGGTTGCAGGGTCGGTGGCCGCCCTGCAGGAGGCTGTGCCGGGATCACCCCGGTGGGGGAGCAGGAGGCAGCCGCGGATGTTTCGCTCTCGCATCCATTGTTTCCCTCTCTCCCTTCCTCTCTCTTTAAACATCAAAGTATTTTGAAAAGATCAGGATCGGGATATTTCACCTGGGGGTCGCGTGAGCGGAGGCAGGTGTGCTGGCCCTGCCCTCTGACCCTCTGACCCTCTGACCCTCGCCCGCGCCGGGCACTTCTGCCGCTCAGGGCCCTGGGTTCCTCTATTCCACGGACGTGTCCTCTCCAGTCGGCGCATCGGACCATCTTCCCCTTTTCCTGACCTGGGGCATCTCCCCTCACCACCCGCCTTCAGCACCCAACAGGGCCCTCCCTCCTGTGTCCTAGGGTTAGAAACGTCCCCCCGCGGAAGCCTATGGGGACTTCTGCCTGGCGCTCGGCAAGGGGACCCTGACGCACCTGGCCCTGGGGCGCCACGCCCGGGCGGGGGGGCGCTGCTGCGCGAGGCCCTGAAGCTCAGGGGGTGCAACCTGCGGCATCTCAGGTGCGCCTCAGCTGGCCGCTGTGCCCCCC